GAGGAGGCGAAGAACCGACGCAGTTTTAAAATGATTTATTAATAACAGGGACGGCAGCTCCTCACGGAGACTGCCGTCAAACTGAAAGCAAACGTAAAACAATATGCCCGAGCCCGGTCCTCTCTCGGCTTCCTCTGCCATCAGTCCTCCTTTTATGGTCCAGAGCTCCTTCCGTGGGATTCGAGGCAGGTGCGCACCGCAGGTGTATCCACTTACGCGGTGATCTCACTTCGTTCCCACGGCTCTCGGCCACGCCCCCTCGCCACATTAGGGTTGGAACTAAACTGTGCAGAGCTGCGGCCCTCCAGGAACTGAGTTTGACACCTGTGTTATAAGCATTAAGATGCTAAATATGAATTTCATGTAATCTCAGCATGTTTTCATATTTTAAACTCGTTATTTAAGATACAAGATCGTATAGTTGTCAAACCCATTATCACCGAAAACAGGATAACTGGTTAATTACTGGTTAATAACTGGACACAGAATAACACAAATAATAAATCAGGACTATAAAAAAATATAAAAATGTAGAACTTTACTTTTTATTTATTAACCCATTACATCTAACTGTTGAGGGGACAATAGATTTTTTTGAAGGGCGCACAAACAATTTAGCTAAAACTGCATGTATGTTAGGCTGCGTTCACACCAGATGAAGCATCAAGCGCGAGTGATTTACATGTTGAGTCAACGCAAAGATGCGAATAGACATCCTGCAGCGCCATTCGCACAAATGAAACGGCGCGAGTTGAGAATTTTACACGTTTGACGCTCGTATCACGTGAATCGCTCAAGTTGAAAAATCTACTTCATCGGACATTCGCGCCACGTTTCCCAATTATGAGCTTTCTTTTGAACAGGCTTGATGATGATAATGATGAAGAGTCTGTTGTTGGTCTCCCGAGGGGAAATCCTCTTTATATTATTTTAATATAGTCATTCGTGAACTGAGGTGGGCCGGTCTAAAGCTTGAAACTCCAGGGCTGAAAAGGAGTCCCACTCCGGCCCTGTGCCGTGCGGTATAAATTCCATTAAAACAACACTCTTCCAGCAGTTGTCACATGCATGAAATGTTCCTGAATTAAAGTAAAAGTGCCAAACTGCAGTTAAAGTCGACAAATTAAAAATGAAACACCCGAAATAACATGAAACTCCAGAGGAAATGTGGATAGCGCGGTGACACAACAACGTAAATCAGAATATGTACTATAACAACGTAAAACGTGATCATGAAAGGAACATTCAAATAGCAACTCATGTAAACACGATCATCATATTATTGTCTTATTCAGATTTACGTAAATAATCTGATTCCTGATGTCCATATAAACATAGTCAGCGTTTGCTTTACAAAACGTACTAAGATCAATGTTTCTCGAGGTTAAACATTTGATAGACATTTTCAAGTAGCAAAACAATAGACTGATTTCACGCGGCCGCCATTTTTAAAAGCGAAATCGAGGCTGCTGTGGGAAGAAACCCGGAAGTATCGCTTGGAGTTACATATGAAAGTTGTGTACGTGGTTGTATACCTTATCAGCGAAGAAAATGGGACACAAATTTATTATTTAATCGCCTTCCGAGTGACCCGAAGGTCCGTTCTGAATGAATGGTGAAAATAAAAAGAGATGTCAGAGCTCATTTTCAGCTAAGGGAAGTGGCGCTAGTTAGCTAACGTTTTCTTTTCCGAACCCACATTTTAGATGCCAATTAAACTCGAGTTAATGAACTGTTTCTTACACAATATTAAGCGTATAAAATGTATTAGCCAGAGCGATTTAGAGCAACTTGAGATTTCCCTTCACATATAAAATAAACAAACTCACTGGAGACCTAAAGGCATTCAGGAATTACCGAGTGACCTGCTGTAAAAGCAGACATTCAATTAAAGGTTGACCTTACCTGTTTGTTCGGGATCTTCCTGTTTGACTGTGAATGTGTTTTCAATCTTCAGGTCTTCACTCTCCTCTTTAATAAACGCCATCTTTATAACAGTGTGGAGATCAGTCGCTTCAGCAGGAGTTTTCCTCTGTGTTTGGACACTTTGTCCTGTTTAAAATGAGAATAATGAACGGAAAATAAAAGAAATACACACTCAATCAGCTCACTAGCTCAGTGCACTGCTGAGGGACTCAGATAAAACTAGAGTAAATTGAGTAGCTCTCAAATTTTATTATAATATTACAATATATACATACTCGTACAATTAGTTATAGACTTTCACTATGTGATCTATAATGTTCTGTGTTAGTTTTCCATGAAGACACTCGCAGTTGGTCAGTAAAAGTCTCTCAACATTTCTGTTGTTTTTGTTTAACACTATTTTAATCAGCAGCTTTGACAGAATTAATCATTCTAAACGATTTAATTGACTCGGAGTTTTGTAAATCTCCCTTTTCCCTCATCTCCACTCGCCAGTGACTGAATTCATGTTTACTAAACAGAGTCACGATACAGAAATGAGACGCGCCTGTTCTGCTAACGTTACTCTCGCTTGCACAAATAAGTTATGATTAAAGTCCTTAAAGATTATGTCAGGTAGCGAATATCATTCAAGATTTCCTGACGAATGTTAAATTTGGCGTCGTTTATGTAAAAAAATCTACAACGTCGACTGTTTGTTCCGATATTTAAACCTTTAAAGCACAAACCTTTCGTTGCACTGAAGACTCGGGAGCGCAGTCATATGACGTCACAGAACTACGCCAAAATAAAAGCCTGGCATGCTATAACACAATTCACAAACACTAGTTAGTGAAACAGCAGATTATTATTAGGGAATAAACCAGATTCCCAAGGACATAAATTTCTAGTTTCCAGGCTTTATGTAAAAAATAAACATGTAAAGTTAAAGTGCGCTATATTAAGAGAAGTGACCATAAATGTATACAATCCAAATGAAAAACAATATTAAAAATGGTCAAATATTTTGGCGCATTAAAAAAAATCTTTACATTTCCAAGTTAATTATTAAGCTTTATTTTACTTTAAAGTTTTTAGTTCACTAACAAAACATCCTCTAAAATAAGATCTGACAAATATGTATATGTATGTATGTGTGTGTGTGTGTGTGTATATACCTATATCTATCTATCTATCTATCTATCTATCTATCTATCTATCTATCTATCTATCTATCTCTCTCTCTCTCTCTCTCTCTCTCTCTCTCTCTCTCTCTCTCTCTATATATATATATATATATATATATATATATATATATATATATATAGATAGATAGATAGAATATATATATATATATATATATATATATATATATATATATATATATATATATATATACACATACATACATACACACACACACACACACACACACAAATACATTTTAGAATAAAAACTGTTGCTAGAATAAGATATATTAGATCTCTATAACTATCTGGAAAGTTTAACTTCGACCATCAACCAGCTGTAATGGAGAACATTGGACGATGGAAATAAAGGATCCATGTGCAGTTTATTTTGAGCTTAGTCAATTAGGCAAAAGTCAGAACAGAAGCAAACAGGAGCATGAGGGTTATCCAAAGAGTGAACGTTATAAACAGGCAGATGGTCAGAACAGGCGGCAAAGAATCAACAAATGGTAAATTTGGCAAAGATCAAAAGACAAGGGAGGACAAACAGGAAAATACAGATTTAATTGCTTAACTAGAAAAACAAGACTCAGCAATGTGTGTGAGAGGGGTGAATTTAAAGTCCAGCTAATCAGTCAGGGATGAGTTACTAGCTGTGTGGGTGTAATCAGAGGCAAACAGGAACCGGTGTGTGCAAGGTGCATGCTGGAAGCTGTAGTTCGTTACTGTGCCATGTGTGTAGTTCTCCAGCAATCTGCAACTGCAGATCGCTGGCGATCACAACACCAGCACATGAGTAATGATTAACATTAATTATATTGTTAAACCTTTTAGCAATGTGAACAATACGTCATGGGCAGCAATTGGTAATCATTGGCACCTCACAGGAAAAGTTAGCTGGTCCGAGTCCTGGCTGGAGGAGGTCTTTCTGCATTGAGTTTGCATGTTCTCACTGTGCCTACGTGTATTTCCATCTGGTGCTCCAGTTTCCCCCAAAGACAAGCAAATTGTTTGGATAAACTAAAATTGGACATAGGGTGTAAATGGGAGAGTGTGTGTGTGTTGCCCAGCTCCTAAAGTACAAGCCTCAGTGCGGGGTGGTAGCTAAAAGGGCATCCACTGTTTGAAATTTATGGCCAGAAACTAGGGGTTTATTCCATTACGGTGACCCCTGACGTGGACGAAAGTGAAGAGGGGGGGGAGGGTTTTGTGGGGCGGTCGTGGGCCCCTAATAATATCTCTGAGGGCCCCCTAAATGTGTGGGCCCTTAGAATTGGTCTAACCAAGGTGAAAGATAATCAGGCACGTGCAGAGGCGGGTTGCTTTTAAAACTTGTTCCTTGAGGACCTGTACTCCTCCTTATTTTTCGGATGTTTCTGTGCAGGCACACAACCTGACGTGTAGCTTGTCTACCTTGCTACGGATGACGACTATAAATCGGTGTGATTTTGTATGTACGGCGCTTCTGACTGCCTGAAATCTGAAAAAGCTTTATTCACTTGATAAGTGAATAAAGCTTTATTCACTTGACTGCCTCCGGCTAACTTAAAGGGCCATGACACCCCCCACTTTCGGTTAAAGTCTACTTCAGAAATTTTTTTAAAAGATGCATGAATAATGGGCGTGGAGCTCTGCGAGCATCGGGCAGGAGTGGGCGTGGCCAGCGGGGGAAGGGGAGCGAACAACTGTTGTTGTCAGTGGGCTCACAAATTGAGACAAACCGTGAGGAGACGCATGAGTTTATAGTTTACAAAGTTAAAATGCAAAGAAACAGTGATTTAATGCCCTGCTACATTTGTTATTCCTAATTTCATATACAGACAACCACAATTTATATCATTATAAAGATAAGTGTGTTCATATAAACACTATAAATGAGAACTTCTCCCTCAATCCCTGGGTCTGAATCATAGATCTGAATGCAGACTCAGTGCAGCAGGTCTCCTGACCTGTCTATTTTAACCATTAGTCCTGCTGGTAATCTGGAGGATTTAGGCAAACACAGCAGCACGGCGATGTATCTATATGTTAATGAACTCCTGATACAAGACAACATCCACCGTTCTCCAATTCGCGTGCTGCTCTCCCGACAAAAATGCTTGCATCAAACACACAGCTTTTCTGTATGATCGGCCCTGACAGGATCGCGGGGAAAAACATGCAACAAACCCGTGGATCATGGAAACAAACACATACAAGCCTTCATAAACGGCTACTGCGTGCCGTGGGTCCGTGTCTCACAGCTTGAGCTTGGCACTGCCTGGCAGGTCTGCATCTGCCTTGCCTTTGGAAAGCATGTGCTGAATAATTAAGCAGCCGGCTCTTCTCATAGGATAGGGAAACTCCGCTTTGAATATTAATGAGAAACCGACGCGTCATCATTGCACTTGCAGTACTTCGCTACGTCGCCGACTATGATCCCTCCCCAAAAATCATTTTAAACCCAGAAGCTGAAATTAGCTGACAAAAGCTCAAAATTATCCAGTTTTCCCCACAATTAAAGCTGACAGGTGCTAACATTGTCTTAACTGATGCTCAACATACACAAATCTGTTAATATATTTAAAAAAAAGTTCTTCAGTGTGTCCTGAACCTTTAATCAGCATACGGAGAACTTGGGGAAAGTCCAATACTTTGCACGGCCCTGAGGGTAATTATCACTTGAGTGTCATATTTTGGGAGCAAATCTTAACCGGTCAAAGGTCCTGGCAGATAGATACGGCTGTAAAATGCCAACTGCCATGCAGTTCTAAAACGGAGCCAGTTCTCGAAACTGAACTCTACTGGCCAACTATAAAAGGCTTCTCTAAAGTGTGAGTCCTCATGTGGGAATCAAGGTTGCCTTTCTGTGTAAAACTCCTTCCGCATTCAGTGCAAGTGTAAGGTCTCTCTCCAGTGTGAGTCCTCATGTGGTAATCAAGGTTGCCTTTCTGGGTAAAACTCTTCCCACATTGAGAGCAGGTGTACGGTCTCTCTCCAGTGTGAACTCTCATGTGGATTTCAAGGCATTTCTTTTGACTGAAACTCTTTCCACACTGTTGGCAGAGGAAAGGTTTCTCTCCAGTGTGGAGTCTCATGTGGTAATCAAGCTTGCTTTTCTGTGTAAAACTCTTCCCGCATTGAGAGCAAGTGTAAGGTTTCTCTCCAGTGTGAACTCTCATGTGGATTTTAAGGGTACCATTCTGAGCAAAACTTTTTCCACACTGCTGGCAAATGAAAGGCTTTATTGTCTCTATTGCTTTATTGTGAACCTTCATGTGCCTATTAAGTCTTTGTTTATGAACGAAGCTCATTCCACACTGAGGGCAGGCACAAGGCTTCTCTCCGGTGTGAAGTTGGATGTGAAGTTGAAGGATTTGAATTTGCCTGAATCTCTTTCCGCACTGTTGGCAGGCGTAAGGCCTGTCCCTGTTGTGAACTTTCATGTGGGCTTTAAGGTTTTGTGTTTGATTAAAACTCATGTCACACTGATCACATGAGAAAGGCTTCTCTCCAGTGTGAATTCTCATGTGAATTGCAAGATTTTGCTTTTGTTTGAAACCTTTTCCGCACTCGGGACATGAGTAAGGCTTCTCTCTGGTATGAGTGCTCATGTGGGATACAAGTCTCGTGTTTTCAATGAATCTCTTTCCACACTGTTCACACGAGTAAGGCTTCTCTCCAGTGTGAACTCGAATGTGAACTCTAAGCTTGTATTTTTGAGTAAAACTTTTTCCACATTGACTGCAGGTGAAGTTACCATTAGATTTAATTTCCTGATCTCTTTCACGAGGTGAAGTCTTTTTTGTCATGGTAGACATTTCAGCAGTCGTTAAGTCTTGGTTTTCCTCAAACTGATCTTTGTCTTCCATTTCCTTCAGTTTTTGAGTCTCCTCTTTCATCAACATCGGCTCTAAAAAGAAACAAGTTAACACAGATTTAAAGCGCGAAAGAACATGTGAAAAACAAAATGAACAACAAGATATTGTAGGTACTTTCACACCTACACTTTTGTTTCGGAACGTGTCTCGATTGCCCAGTTAGCGCGGTTCGTTTGGCATATGCGAACAGGGTAATCGCGCTCTGTTCTGCGCCAAAGTAATCGCTCCGAGATCGCTTGAGTGAGGTGGTCTCGGCTCGATTGAAACGAACCCTGGAGCGGTACGATTACAGTGAGAAAGCGATCCGATCCAAGCGCGGTTATGTCACAGTGTTTTATGGATATGTAATAGGCTTACGGCTATATGAAGAGAGAATTATGAGTAGGGCAGGAAGTTTCGCGAGTCTCCGGATGCCCGCAAACGAGTGATGATCTCCCGGTAATCTCGCATCTCCCTCCCGATCTTCAAATAGGCATCGTTGCGCACCCTTCTCACCCCTCCCCACAGCATCTCTCCTCAGACACGTCGCGCGCGCACCCTGTCAATCACCAACAAACCACCACCTCTCCAGACAGCTTAGCAGGACGCTGCAAAATAAATCCTGACACTCTGACCAATGTGAGAAGAGTTTACTCGCATGTGACTTGTTTTAGCTATTTTGGTCCGATTAGAAACTTTGCAGTGTGAAAGCGAACCGCTCCAAGAGCAAAGAGCAACAATGAAACAATTGTAATCTCTGTTTCAGAACAACTGAATCGATTCACAGGTGTGAAAGCACCCTAAGTTGCTGAAAATGGTGGGCCCAATAACTGGCCAGATCAACAGTTTTCCCTGCATTAGATACAACTTTATCAGAGAGAACTGAGGTAGCAGATTGAAGCTACAATGTGTAGTCCCAATGTGTAGCCAATCAAGCTCATCAGTAACTTTATTTATTTATTTGAATCTCTGACTCTGGCTCTTCTTCATCTGACAGACTGGTCATTCTTTGGGTTAAAACTGTTAATCCCTACACCTGTGCCTGAATTTGTGCACACGACCCACTAATGAATGACCTCGGGAGCTAGGGTGCTGATTGAGAAACAGGACTTAGATAAGAGGTACTCAGTCATATTCCCGGACATCTACTTTCCTGCAAAGTTCAGCTGCAACACTTATCAAATGCTTATCAAATTCAAGGGCTCCTTTAGATCCTGCTTATGCCACCATCTCATTTTAACCCGTAGACTTCCATTCATACACATGCGAATGCAACAGATTAGAAACGCAAGCTCGTGCAACAAGTTTCACATCTTGCTGCATCGGAAAGTTCAAGCTTGGTGACACGGACCTACGAATTCACATCTTGTGGAAATCAATCGAAGATCAAAACATGACCTCTCTGGACAGAAGTGTAAAATATGGACCAATCGCTTGTTTTTAATGTCTAATCATCTTGTTTAATCCCGCCCCTTCTCGCAGCACCGTATGACAGAATTTTGCATGCTCAAACTCTAGTGTGATTGCGGCTTTAGTTGGTTTAGTTGTGTTTGATCAGGGTTGGAGCTGAACTCTGCAAGGAACTTGAGCTCCACAGACATTTTCTATACAGACGCTCTACAGTTTCTCAATTCCAAAGTAGTGCAATTGAGGAAAACATTTCACACTGACTGCAGGTAAAATTACCATCAGATTTGGTTTCCTGACCTTTTTCTGTCTTAATAGATTTTCCATCAGTCTTCGAATCTTGGTGTTTCTGACCGTTCTCTTCAGTTTCATTCAGTTCTTCAGTCTCTTCTTTCAGCACCAACAGCTCTACAGAGAAAAATAAGACAAGCTAAACTCAATTTCAGGCACAAAAGACATCACAATTGAATTTAGGCATTAAATCCAAAAACATGAATGAACTTATAAGCACTAAGATGCTAAATACGCATGTAATCTTAGAATGTTTTCATATTTTAAACTCGTTATTTAAAACACACAAGACGAACAGTTACCGAACCCATTATTACCTGACATAGGATGTCTAGGTTTATTAAAGATAATGTGTTGTCACGATGACAAACGTTTTACTTTGATCTGGTGTCTAAATTAAATATCACAACACTAATAATAAATCAGTATTCTAAAAAAATAACATAGATCTTTCTTTTTATTTATTAACCCAAAGCAGGGGCGTACATGTCATCTTACTGTAGGAGGGGACAATAGGTTTTTTAAGGGGACACAAATAATACAGTTAAAATTGCTAAATGTAAATATTATGCTACGTTCACACCAGACGCAGATGAAGCGTAAAGCGCAAGTGACTTGCATGTTAAGACGCAAAGAAGCAAATAGACATCCTGCAGCAAGATTTGCGGGAGTTCACTCGAGCTGGAAAATCTGAACTTCAGCGGACATTTGCGTCATGTTAACAAATCATGAGCTTGCTCTTGAGGAGCGTGATTATGATGTAGTGCCTGTTGTTGGTGTCCCTAAAGGAAATCCACCTGCTGACAACAGCTCGTCAACCTGGGCTCAGCTCAGTCTGAAGCACCGCTGAAAGCCTCCATCATCCAGGTATAGTTTCTGGAGGAGTCGATGAACTCACAGAGTTGGGAGCATCTCTTAAGGATCTAGTGGACTCAGACACGGCGCAGAACGAATCTACGCTGTTTATCAGCCTTCATAAAGCACATTAAGCACAACTACACTCTTAAAAATAACCATGTGAGCCATTTAGCAACAAAGTTAGATACGCGAATGAGGCGGTGCAAATGACAGGATATGCGCGAGTGAGGCGGTACGAATGACACGATATGCGCGAATGAGGCGGTGCAAATGACAGGATATGCGCGAGTGAGGCGGTACGAATGACACGATATGCGCGTATGAGGCGGTGCAAATGACAGGATGTGCGCGAGTGAGGCGGTGCGAATGACATGATATACGCGAATGAGGCGGTGCAAATGACAGGATATGCGCGAATGAGGCGGTGCAAATGACCCAATATGCGCGAATGAGGCGGTTGGAATGACGCTATATGTGCGAATGAGGCGGTGCGAATGACACGATATGCGCGAGTGAGGCGGTGCGAATGACACGATATGCGCGTATGAGGCGGTGCAAATGACAGGATGTGCGCGAGTGAGGCGGTGCGAATGACATGATATACGCGAATGAGGCGGTGCAAATGACAGGATATGCGCGAATGAGGCGGTGTAAATGACCCAATATGCGCGAATGAGGCGGTTCGAATGACGCTATATGTGCGAATGAGGCGGTGCGAATGACACGATATGCGCGAGAGAGGCGGTGCGAATGACACGATATGCGCGAATGAGGTGGTGCGAATGACAGGATATGCGTGAATAAGGTGGTGCGAATGACAGGATATGTCCAAGTGAGGTGGTGCGAATGACACGATATGCGCGAATGAGGTGGTGCAAATGACACGATATGCGTGAACGAGGCGGTGCAAATGACACAATATGCGCGAATGAGGCGGTGCAAATGACAGGATATGCGTGAATGAGGTGGTGCACATGACACGATATGCGCAAGTGAGGCGGTGCGAATGGCAGGATATGTCCAAGTGAGGTGGTGCGAATGACACGATATGCGCGAATGAGGCGGTGCGAATGACACGATATGCGTGAACGAGGCGGTGCAAATTACACAATATGCGCGAATGAGGCGGTGCAAATGACAGGATATGCGCAAGTGAGGTGGTGCGAATGACACGATATGCGCGAATGAGGCGGTGCGAATGACACGATATGCGTGAACGAGGCGGTGCAAATGACACGATATGCGCAAGTGAGGTGGTGCGAATGACACGATATGCGCGAATGAGGCGGTGCGAATGACAGGATATGCTTGAATGAGGCGGTGCAAATGACACGATATGCGCGAATGAGGCGGTGCGAATGACACGATATGCGTGAACGAGGCGGTGCAAATGACACGATATGCGCAAGTGAGGTGGTGCGAATGACACGATATGCGCGAATGAGGCGGTGCGAATGACAGGATATGCGTGAATGAGGCGGTGCAAACGACACGATATGCGCAAATGAGGCGGTGCAAATGACACGATATGCGCAAGTGAGGCGGTGCGAATGACACGATATGTCCAAGTGAGGTGGTGCGAATGACACGATATGCGTGAATGAGGTGGTGCGAATGACACGATATGCGCAAATGAGGTTGTGCGAATGACACGATATGCGTGAACGAGGCGGTGCGAATGACACAATATGCGCGAATGAGGCGGTGCAAATGACAGGATATGCGCAAGTGAGGTGGTGCGAATGACACGATATGCGCGAATGAGGCGGTGCGAATGACAGGATATGTCCAAGTGAGGTGGTGCGAATGACACGATATGCGCGAATGAGGCGGTGCGAATGACAGGATATGTGCAAGTGAGGTGGTGCGAATGACACGATATGCGCGAATGAGGTGGTGCGAATGACACGATATGCGCGAATGAGGCGGTGCGAATGACAGGATATGTGCAAGTGAGGTGGTGCGAATGACACGATATGCACGAATGAGGCGGTGCAAATGACGCGATATGCACGAATGAGGCGGTGCGAATGACCCGATTTGCACGAATGAGGCGGTGCGTATGACGTGATATGCACGAATTAGGCGGTGCGAATGAAGTGATATGCACGAATAAGGCGGTGCGAATGACGCGATATGCGCGAGTGAGGTGGTGCAAATGACACGATACGCAGGAATGACACGATATGCGCGAATGAGGCGGTGCGAATGACGCTATATGCATGAATGAGGTGGTGCGAATGACGCTATATGCGTGAATGAGGTGGTGCGAATGACACGATACGCAGGAATGACACGATATGTGCGAATGAGGCGGTGCGAATGACACAATATGCGTGAATGAGGCGGTGCAAATGACACGATATGCGCAAGTGAGGCGGTGCGAATGACAGGATATGTCCAAGTGAGGCGGTGCGAATGACAGGATATGTCCAAGTGAGGCGGTGCGAATGACAGGATATGTCCAAGTGAGGCGGTGCGAATGACAGGATATGTCCAAGTGAGGCGGTGCGAATGACAGGATATGTCCAAGTGAGGTGGTGCGAATGACACGATATGCGTGAACGAGGCGGTGCAAATGACACAATATGCGTGAACGAGGCGGTGCAAATGACACGATATGCGTGAACGAGGCGGTGCAAATGACAGGATATGCGCAAGTGAGGTGGTGCGAATGACACGATATGCGCGAATGAGGTGGTGCGAATGACACGATATGCGCGAATGAGGCGGTGCGAATGACATGATATGCGCGAATGAGGTGGTGCGAATGACATGATATGCGTGAATGAGGTGGTGCACATGACACGATATGCGCAAGTGAGGCGGTGCGAATGACAGAATATGTCCAAGTGAGGTGGTGCGAATGACAGGATATGTCCAAGTGAGGTGGTGCGAATGACACGATATGCGCGAATGAGGCGGTGCGAATGACACGATATGCGTGAACGAGGCGGTGCAAATTACACAATATGCGCGAATGAGGCGGTGCAAATGACAGGATATGCGCAAGTGAGGTGGTGCGAATGACACGATATTCGCGAATGAGGCGGTGCGAATGACACGATATGCGTGAACGAGGCGGTGCAAATGACACGATATGCGCAAGTGAGGTGGTGCGAATGACACGATATGCGCGAATGAGGCGGTGCGAATGACAGGATATGCTTGAATGAGGCGGTGCAAATGACACGATATGCGCGAATGAGGCGGTGCGAATGACACGATATGCGTGAACGAGGCGGTGCAAATGACACGATATGCGCAAGTGAGGTGGTGCGAATGACACGATATGCGCGAATGAGGCGGTGCGAATGACAGGATATGCGTGAATGAGGCGGTGCAAACGACACGATATGCGCAAATGAGGCGGTGCAAATGACACGATATGCGCAAGTGAGGCGGTGCGAATGACACGATATGTCCAAGTGAGGTGGTGCGAATGACACGATATGCATGAATGAGGTGGTGCGAATGACACGATATGCGCAAATGAGGTTGTGCGAATGACACGATATGCGTGAACGAGGCGGTGCGAATGACACAATATGCGCGAATGAGGCGGTGCAAATGACAGGATATGCGCAAGTGAGGTGGTGCGAATGACACGATATGCGCGAATGAGGCGGTGCGAATGACAGGATATGTGCAAGTGAGGTGGTGCGAATGACACGATATGCGCGAATGAGGTGGTGCGAATGACACGATATGCGCGAATGAGGCGGTGCGAATGACAGGATATGTGCAAGTGAGGTGGTGCGAATGACACGATATGCACGAATGAGGCGGTGCAAATGACGCGATATGCACGAATGAGGCGGTGCGAATGACCCGATATGCACGAATTAGGCGGTGCGAATGAAGTGATATGCACGAATAAGGCGGTGCGAATGACGCGATATGCGCGAGTGAGGTGGTGCAAATGACACGATACGCAGGAATGACACGATATGCGCGAATGAGGCGGTGCGAATGACGCTATATGCGTGAATGAGGTGGTGCGAATGACGCTATATGCGTGAATGAGGTGGTGCGAATGACACGATACGCAGGAATGACACGATATGTGCGAATGAGGCGGTGCGAATGACACAATATGCGTGAATGAGGCGGTGCAAATGACACGATATGCGCAAGTGAGGCGGTGCGAATGACAGGATATGTCCAAGTGAGGCGGTGCGAATGACAGGATATGTCCAAGTGAGGCGGTGCGAATGACAGGATATGTCCAAGTGAGGTGGTGCGAATTACACGATATGCGTGAACGAGGCGGTGCAAATGACACAATATGCGTGAACGAGGCGGTGCAAATGACACGATATGCGTGAACGAGGCGGTGCAAATGACACGATATGCGCGAATGAGGCGGTGCAAATGACAGGATATGCGCAAGTGAGGTGGTGCGAATGACACGATATGCGCGAATGAGGTGGTGCGAATGACACGATATGCGCGAATGAGGCGGTGCGAATGACATGATATGCGCGAATGAGGTGGTGCGAATGACATGATATGCGCGAATGAGGCGGTGCGAATGACATGATATGCGCGAATGAGGCGGTGCGAATGACAGGATATGTGCAAGTGAGGTGGTGCGAATGACACGATATGCACGAATGAGGTGGTGCGAATGACACGATATGCACGAATGAGGTGGTGCGAATGACACGATATGCGCGAATGAGGCGGTGCGAATGACATGATATGCGCGAATGAGGTGGTGCGAATGACATGATATGCGCGAATGAGGCGGTGCGAATGACAGGATATGTGCAAGTGAGGTGGTGCGAATGACACGATATGCGCGAATGAGGTGGTGCGAATGACACGATATGCGCGAATGAGGCGGTGCGAATGACATGATATGCGCGAATGAGGTGGTGCGAATGACATGATATGCGCGAATGAGGCGGTGCGAATGACAGGATATGTGCAAGTGAGGTGGTGCGAATGACGCGATATGCACGAATGAGCCGGTGCGTATGACGTGATATGCACAAATTAGGCGGTGCGAATGACACCATATGCACGAATGAGGTGGTGCGAATGAAGTGATATGCACGAATGAGGCGGTGCGAATGACGCGATATGCGCGAGTGAGGTGGTGCGAATGACACGATACGCAGGAATGACACGATATGCGCGAATAAGCCGGTGCGAATGACGCTATATGCGTGAATGAGGTGGTGCGAATGACACGATACGCAGGAATGACACGATATGCGCGAATGAGGTGGTGCAAATGATGCGATATGCGCAAATGAGGTGGTGCGAATGACACGATATGGGCGAATTTTACTCCGCATTAACCAATCAGGAGCTTTTTCCTGTAGGGGCGTGCTTATGAAGTAATACCTGTTGTTGGTGTCAAAGGGGGAAATCCTCCTGCCGACACGAACAACAGTTGATTAAACTGGGCTCGACTTAGTCGCAAGCACCGCTAAATGCTTCCATCACCAAGGTTAAGTTTCTGAAGGAGTTGATGAACAGCTGGGTGCACCTCTGAAAGGTAACCCAGCTATTCTCTCGATAAAATCCATGTTAGCCATTTAGCAACGAAGCTACAGTAACCGGGCAGACAGAAGCCTTGCCCATCACGCAAATGAAGTGAATTTGACGCGCGAATAAAGCGTATTTTGACGCACGAAGCAGATTTTGATGCGCAGACACCAAAATTTTAACAACTTATAAAAACTTTATAATTTTCTGCCTATCGAATATTGGGCATGGTTATTTACAGTTGAAGTCAAAATTATTATTCCTCCTGTTTATTTTCTTCCCCAATTTCTGTTTAACTGCCTTTTTTTTAAACATTTCTAAACATAATCGTTTTACTCTCTAATAACTGATTTATTTTATCTTCGCCATGATGACAGTAAATAATATTATTAGACTGGATATTCTTCAAGACACTACTATACAGCTTAAATGACATTTAAAGGCTTAACTAGGTTAATTGGGTTAACTAGGCAGGTTAGGGTAATTAGGCAAGTTATTGTATAACGATGGTTTGTTCTGTAGACTATTGAAAAAGAGAGCCTAAAGGGACTAATAATATTGACCTTAAAATGGTGTTTAAAAAATTAATAACTGCTTTTATCCTAGCCGAAATAAAACAAATAAGACTTTCTCTAGAAGAAAAAATATTATCAGACATACTATGAAAATTTCCTTGCTCTGATGAACATCATTTGGGAAATATTTAAAAAAATAAAAAAAAAATAAAGGGGGGCTAATAATTCAGACTTCAACTGTATTTTTATATATATATATATATATATATATATATATATATATATATATATATATATATATATATATATATATAGCCTTCGTGATATTCAGAAATATTACAGCACTCTGTAAACGTTTATTATTACCATTTGTTAAGTCTCCTCATTCAGTTTGATAGAGCGCCTAGACCAGGAAGCTGCTTCGCTTGACATCACACTTAACAAGTGGAGAGTAGCTGTTGTTGTTGTTTTTTTCTGCTCTTCTCTATGGACTTTAATCGTTACAGGTTTTCAGCATTATTCAGAATATCTTCTTTTGTGTTCAGCAAACAATTTTTTTCAGGTTTAAAACATGTTAACAGAATTTTCCTTTTTTGGTGAACTGTCACTTTAACTCCAGTTTCTCTCAGTGTTTCCTTTACAAAACACATTAAGATCAATGCATCTCGGGGTCAAACATTTGATGGAGATATGAATATTTTCAAGTAGCACAACAATGAAAAGAATTTTCCAGAGCACTTTGAGATTTCCCTTTAGATATAAAATCAAAGCTCCTAATAGACGTGATTGATGAAGCAGACAAACTCACCGAAGACCTAAATGCATTCAGGATTTACCGTGTGACCTGCTGTAAAAGCAGACATTCAATCAAAAATTGACCTTACCAGTTTGTTCGGGAACTTCCTGTTTGACTGTGAATGTGTCTTCAATCTTCAGGTCTTCACTCTCCTCTTTAATAAACGCCATCTTTATAACAGTGTGGAGATCCGTCGCTTCAGCAGGAGTTTTCCTCAGTGTTTGGACACTTTAAAATGAAAACAACGAACAGAAATAAAAGAAACACACACTCAATCTGTCTCAATCAGCTCTCTAGTTCACTATTAAGTGTACTGTTGAGGGAGTCAGATAAAAAAATCACATGAGTAGATTAAAATAAACTAGTAGCTCTCGAATTTTATAATAACACATATGCGCACTATCAGTTATAGACTTTCACTATGTGATCTATAATGTTCTGTGTTAGTTTTCCAGGAAAACACCCGCAGTTGGTCAGTAAAAGTCACTTAACATTTCTGTTGTTTTTGTTTAACACTATTTTAATCAGCAGCTTTGACAGAATTAATCATTTTAAACGATTTAATTGACTCGGAGTTTTGTAAATCTCCCTTTTCCCTCATCTCCACTCGCCAGTGACTGAGTTCATGTTTACTAAACAGAGTCACGATACAGAAATGAGACGCGCCTGTTCTGCTGCTCACCTGTACGCTTGAGCTAATTAGTTATGATTGAAGTCTTTGTCAGATAACATATTACACGCGAGACTTCTTACAAATATTTAATTTGGCATCGCTTATTAAACAACAACGCCGAATGATCGTTTGTCCCGATATTCAAGCCTTTAAAGCACAAACCCCTTTGATGAACCGCGGCGCGCATACCCATGACGTCACACGGCTACGCCAAAATAAAAGCCTTGAATATTGTAATAAAACTCACAAACACATACACTGAATGACTACAGTTATTTAGACAGCAGATTTTTACTTTACACGTTTATTTTCACATAAAACCTGAAAACTAGAAATTGGTATCTTTGATAATCTGTGGTTCATGCCCTAAAAAAAGTGTGTTATATTAAGAGAATTGACCATAAATGTATAAATGCAAATGGAAAACAATATTAAAAATGGTTAAATACTTTAGTGCATAACAAAAACTTCTACATTATTTTAACATTATTAAAACATTATTTATACATTTATATTAATGACTTCCTAAGTTAATTAACTTTTTTGTTTAAATGTTTTAGTTTACTCCACACAATCATCCTCTAAAAGAGGAAAGAGAAACACTGAAAAGTTCAAACAAATACTGTCTTTGACTTTACTGATTTCAGTGGTAATGCTCTTTCATATAATGAACTATCAAACAATTATTTTACGTTGGGTTATATACTCACCGGCCACTTTATTAGGCACACCTTCCCAGCCAATCACATGGCAGCAACTCAATGCATTCAGGCATGTAGATATGGTCAGGACGATCTGCTGCTGTTTAAACCGAGCATCAGAATGGGGAAGAATGGGGATTTAAGGGACTTTGAACGTGGCATGCTTGTTAGTGCCAAACAAGTTGGGCTGAGTGTTTCAGAAACTGTTGATCTGCTGGGATTTTCACACACAACCATCTCTAGGGTTTACAGAGAATGGTCCAAAAAAAGAGGAAATATCCAGCGAGCAGCAGATCTGTGGGCGCAAAAGTCAGACTGCCTGAACTCTGAGTAATTAAAGTCTGCCAGAGGTCAGAGGAGAATGGCCAGACTGGTTCCAGCTGATAGAAAGGAAACAGTAACTCAAAAAAGCACTCGTTACAACTGAGGTCTGGAGAAGAGCATCTCTGAACACACAACACGTCCAACCTTGTAAGCGGACGAGCTACAGCAGCAGAAGACCACATCGGGTGCCGCTTCTGTCAGCTAAGAACAGGAAACTGTTTATGTATTAAATAAAGCACTAGGCATGCAGATTACACCTTGTCATGTGCCTAATGAGATCTACCCACAATCATTTTAATGGGTTGTTTTTTTTCCCCCGGGTATGAACAAATGTGATGTTTAGTGGGCAACATTTGTGAAACAATAAAAATAATGTGGATGTTTTCTAATACATTTCAAATGAACAGATCCTTGTTGGGAAACCGATAGTTTTAACCCGAGCTGAAGAGCCGGAGTCAGGGATTCAATTAAAAGAAAGTTTACTGAAAATACTTTACAGTTTCATCGGCAGAAGCCAGCGTCAACACTAGCAAAGAGTTCATAGGCTGCTTTGCATACAATCTCAAAACATCTACAATTATACTCTTATATAATGTCATTTCATATACCTCAAGGTCTCCTTGACCTCTTGAAGTTCCTGAGGAAACAAATAACTTGGCATACAGAAAAATCAATGACACACATATCATCAAAGTTTTACCCTGAAGAGGGATGACACTAAGGCAGTGGTGTCCAAATTCGGTCCTCAAGGGCCGGTGTCTTGCATATCTTAGTCCTAACACTAATTAAACACACCTGAACCAGCTAATCAAGCTCTTTCTAGGTATACTAGAAACTCACAAGCAAGTGTGTTGAAGGTAGTTGGAGCTAGACTATGCCGGACACCGCACTACAGGATCAAGTTTGAACACCCCTGCACTAAGGTCATCATATAATCTAGGCCAGGGGTGTCAAACTCAATTCCTGGAGGGCCGAAGCCCTGCACAGTTTAGTTCCAACCCTGCTCTAACACACTTACCTGTAGGTTTCAAACAAGCCTGAAGGGCTCAATTAGTTTGATCAGGTGTGTTTAAAATAAAGAGTTTGACACCTGTGATCTAGGCCAACGGTTCTCAAACTCAGACCTGGAGGTGTAGTATCCTGCAAATTTTAGCTCCAACCCTAATTAGACACACCTGGGCTAGCTAATCAAGCTCTTGGTAGGCCAAGGGTGCCCGAACTCAGTCCTGGAGGGTTTGTGTCCTGCAGATTTTAGCTCCAAATTGCCTCAACACACCAGCAGGGATGTTTCTAGAAAGCCTAGTACAGGGGTGTCCAGACTTGGTCCTGGAGGGTTGGTGTCCTGCAGATTTTAGCTCTAACTTGCCTCAACACACCCGCAGGGAAGTTTTTAGAACGCCTAGTACAGGGGTGTCCAAACTTGGTCCTGGAGGGTTGGTGTCCTGCAGCTTTTAGCTCCAAATTGCCTCAACACACCTGCAGGGAAGTTTTTAGAACGCCTAGTACAGGGGTGTCCAGACTTGGTTCTGGAGGGTTGGTGTCCTGCAGTTTTTAGCTCCAACTTGCCTCAACACACCTGCAGGGAAGTTTCTTGAAAGCCTAGGTACAGGAGTGTCCAAACTTGGTCCTGGAGGGCCGGTGTCCTGGAGAGTTTAGCTCCAACCCTAATCAAACACACCTGAACCAGCTAATCAAGCTCTTACTAGATATGCTAGAAACTTCCTGACAGGTGTGTTGAGGCAAGTTGAAGCTAAACTCAGCAGGACACCGACCCTCCAAGACCGAGTTTGGACACCCCTGGAATAGGCTTTCTAGAAACACCCTTGGCAGGTATGTTAAGGCAAGTTGGAGCTAAACCATGCAGGACACCACACTCCAGGATCAAGTTTGGACACCCCTGCACTAAGGTCATCATATAATCTAGGCCAACGGTTCCCAATCTCAGTCCTGGAGGTCTAGTATCCTGCAGATTTTAGCTCCAACCCTAATTAGACACACCTGGGCTAGCTAATCAAGCTCTTGGTAGGCCAAGGGTGCCCGAACTCAGTCCTGGAGGGTTTGTGTCCTGCAGATTTAGCTCTAACTTGCCTCAACACACCTGCAGGGAAGTTTCTAGAAAGCCTAGGTACAGGGGTGTCCAGACTTGGTCCTGGAGGGCCGGTGTCCTAGAGAGTTCAGCTCCAACCCTACCCAAACACACCTGAACCAGCTAATCAAGCTCTTACTAGATATGCTAGAAACTTCCTGACAGGTGTGTTGAGGCAAGTTGAAGATAAACTCTCCAGGACACCGACCCTCCAAGACCGAGTTTGGACACCCCTGGAATAGGCTTTCTAGAAACACCCTTGGCAGGTATGTTGAGGCAAGTTGGAGCTAAAATTTGCAGGACGCTGAACCCCCAGGATTGAGTTTGAGAACCCATGACATAAGAAAAGATTACTTGGGAGTGGACATCCATCAGACAATTCACACCATCGTCCCTCAGTTTAAACATCAGAAAATCAAGATTATTGTTTCTCGACCTTATAAAGAAGGTTGTGTAATAAAGAATGTGTATCTAGTAATATAGCGGTGACTATTTAACATCGTGACTAAATCATCATGTTACGTTTTTGGTTTCTTCTACGTGGAGCTTCAAGTGTTGGCTGAGGTTGCCTCTGTGACAGTAACTCTTTCCACACTGACCACATATAAACGGCCTCTCTCTGGTGTGAGTCCTCATGTGAGCATTGAGGTAGTATTTATATGTAAAGCTTTTGCCGCACTCCGTGCAAATGTAAGGCTTATCCCCGGTGTGAAATTTCATGTGGTAATTGAGGTTGTTTCTCTGTGTGAAACTCTTCCCGCATTGAGCGCAAGTGTAAGGTCTCTCCCCAGTGTGAATCATCGTGTGGACTGCAAGGCGCTGCTTTTGACTGAAACTCTTTCCGCACAGTTGGCAGGCGAAAGGTTTCTCTCCGGTGTGAATTTTCATGTGTTGTTTAAGGTTATGTTTTTGAGCAAAGCATTTTCCACATTGCTGGCAAACGAACGGCTTCTCTGTACTGTGGACCGCCATGTGCGTGTCAAGTCTTTGTTTTTTAATGAACCTCATTTCACACTGAGTGCAGGCATAAGGCCTCTCTCCAGTGTGAAGTTTGAAGTGAAGTTGAAGGATGTGTAACAGTCTGAACCTCTTTCCGCACTGTTGGCAGGCGTACGGCTTCTCCCCGGTGTGAATGCTCATGTGGATTACGAGGTTGTGTTTTTGAGTAAAACTTTTTCCGCACTCACTGCAGGGAAAGTTACCATTGGATTTGGATTTCTTTTTTGCCACAGTGGATTGTTCAGCGGCCATTAAATCTCGGTGTTCCTCATTCTGAATATTCTCCTCCGTTTCATTCAGTCCTGGAGTCTCTTCTTTCCGCAACATCAGCTCTAAAAAGACATATAAAACAAGTTAAC